TATTTATTTATTTATTTATTTATTTATTTATTTATTTATTTATTTATTTATTTATTTATTTATTTATTTATTTATTCATTCATTCATTCATTCATTTATTCATTCATTCACTTATTTATTCCTTCCTTTCTTTATCTATCTATCTATCTATCTATCTATCTATCTATCTATCTATCTATCTATTTATTTGCCAGCAGCAACCAAGTAACTCTTGAGCACACACTGCAAGGGAGAGCAGCTGGCAGGTAGCCAGTGCTGTGCTGGGGCCCTGGGGGAGGGGGGAAGGGGGAGGATGACTTCACTGAACCTCTTTGAATCTGGGAGGTGTAGCTGGCAGGTTGTCTTGCAGGATTTTTACACCCGCATTTACACCCACTCTAAGGGGGGTTTGTCTGCCCAGAAGCGTGTTGCTAGTCTGAGGCCTTCCACCCAGCCCCAGGACAGGCTGTCTTGAGGATTAGTGCTTTACACATAAATTTCCCCAAATAGACCTTGAGGGAAGAGAGTATGTAAATGAGGAGGAAGGAATTTTGAAAAAAAGAACCAATTTATCAACTGCTCCTTTGATAGAATCCTATCCTTAAATCACAGAAGGATAATTTCCTCCGTTCAGAAGTTGCTCTCCCTTGCATTCGGGTTGTCTGGGATGAGCTGGGGGGGGGGGGGGGGATGGACACGACCCTCCAGCTCCCGACACCGACACCTGCAGCACTTCAGCGTCTGGAAGTGTTGGTCTGGATTTGTTCTAAGGCAGATTATCTTGCTCCCTTCCCTGGCAGCTGTGTGTGGGGAGTCCGCCTCTCCCAGACCCCCAGCAAAGGGATCGCACAAATTCCAACATGCGGTTTTTGGTCCTCAGTCAAAGAAATGCTCAGCTCCGGGGGTGTTGGCTGCAGATCTACTTGACAACTAAAGCCCTTGTCTCATTCAGGGAAAAGGAGCTGAGGTGTCAGAGGCCTTGAACCAAATCCCCAGGAAATTAAGGCCTGTCTATTGAGGCAGAAAGATAAACAAAGGAGTGTTTTATTTGGACTGACACCACATCTATGTTCTTGGGACTGACCTTTTGAACAGATTTTAATCCCAGAAGAGATTTGATGATGCAGCCTTGACCCTGAGAGGTCATGCTTTCAGCTGTCACTTATAAGCTCTTTGGCCCCTGAAGGCTTCCGTACGCTGTCTGTGGCCCATGTCTTCATTCCCCTCTCTAGCCCTCCCCAGCCCAGGTAGAGCACAGACCCAGCCAATGTGCAGAGAGTGAGGGTGCAGGCCATGGAGGTCACTCAGACCCGTGTCACAGAGGAGAATGGCTGCCACCCAGCTCTGCCCAGACTTACTTGGGACAGAGACGCAACATTTCTGAGGCTCGGCATTGTGGGAAGTGTCCAAGTTGGGGGAAATCTAGGAATCAAGAAGGGAAAGAAATGGTTCCTGAGAGATCTTGGCCACTTGCCCAGGTCGGTGCTTAGTGGAGCTGCCCGAGGAGGTCACCTGTCTCATCCTGGCACAGCCAGGTGCAGCCGCAGGGTTCACCGACTCCTGAGGGCCGGCATGTGAACGGAGATACATGGGCACACAACCGTACAGTTGGAAACATTGCCACCCTACTATGGACGGGCAGCTCGGTGGATGACCCCTCTGTGCTTAGAATAGAATTCTGTCAGCACACCCTGATACAGGGAAAGGAAAAATCGCTTCCCGCCAAGCTTAATGTCGTTGCCTTGTGTACAAGACCACAGTTTCCATGCAAAGACTGGGGAAGAAAATAGGAGTTGTCACAGTCCCCCTGAGATGTCGGCCTTGGGTCTAGTCGACTAGGCCCCTGTCCTTGATCCAGCCCCAGAGTCCCAGTGGCCTCCTCTTACACCAATTCACCTTACATGCTGTTCCATATAACTTTCCTGTTCATTTCTTTTATTTATTTATTTATTTATTTATTTATTTATTTATTTATTTATTTATTTATTTATTTGCTTTATGTGTATGAGTGTTTTGCATGCATGTTTATCTATGCGCCACGTGTATGCCTGCAGAGGCCAAAGAGGGTGTCATAACCCCTGGAATTGGAGTTACAGATGGTTGTAAGTCACCTGTGGGTCCTCTGGAAGAGCAGCCAGTGTTCTTAACCGCTTATCCGCCCAGCCCTCTTCATGCTCAGTTTAAAAAATTTAGATAAAAAAAATCTAAAAATCTTTTAGCTCGAATGAAATTATTCAAGTGCGTATGGCATAAAGACTTTGGGCTAAGAGGTGCCCGGAGTGCAGGGAGACCAGGACCACACTAGATCTGCTGAGGCTGCCCTGGCCCTCAGCAAGTTACTTCTCTACTTCCGATCTAAAACTGGAATGGCAAGCTCTTCCGGTTGTGAATTTAGTCCTAATCAGAACTGTTCCCGAATATGTTGTCAACTGAGAGAATTAAGTTCAAACCCAGAGAGAAATTTTCATCTTTTTCCAAGTGAGGCAGCTGCCTCTAGCCAGCACACAGTTGGATAGGGCGGGGCGGTGGGGGGGGGGGATGGGACACACGACCCTTGAGAAGAGAGTTCATAGGGAACCCCTGATCACTAAGGGTAAAGAAATGCTAGGAGAGAGCAAAGAGAACCCTTTAAGAAAAAAGAAAATCCCAGTGAGCCTCTAAGGACTTTGCGGAAGGCAGAAGAGAAATCCAGTCTGTTAAACATGCGGGCACCTAGCATTTCCTGTGTCAGGTGATAACTGGCCTCTGCGTAAGGAATGAAGCATGAAATGATTTTAGACATGGCATCACATCCCGCAAAGGGAATGTTGTTAGGACGCCGGTCCCAAATGAAGACTGTCAAAGACAGCTTATCTGTGCACACATTGTATTTCTTTCTAGACAGAGTGCTCTGGTAGAAGAAATCGCTTTAAAATGCATGTTGAGGTGGCAGTTACATATAATTTTTTTTTTGGTGGCTCAGACCGGAGGAGATAATCTCTTTGAGGCATCTTTAGAAAAACTAAAGTCTGCCGAAGAAGAGAAATAATATCATCAGAGAGGCTTTGGCTCAGGGAGTAAGGGAAAGTGGGGTCTCCCTAGACTTCACCCCTCAACCCACCTCCCCTTGCCCCCTGAGCCAAGGCAATACAGAACTCCTTGTGTGGGAGAGAAGTTGGGGGATGAGACTGTGTACCTAACCTTGCTCCCTTACTGCCTCTATCCCAGAAAAGGCTCAGCCTCCTGCTGCTACAGGTCCTGGGGCTGGTGGGCAACCCACCCCACCCTGGATCACCATGGCCCGGCAGAAGCGACGAGGAGCCCCAGACCTGCCTGTCACCCAGGAAGACAAGTCTGGGTCACGGATCCTGAAGACAGAAACTGGAAAGCAAACCCAGGTGCTGAGAGCAAAGACTGTTTCTGTGGAGTTCAAGGGGGGAGGGGGGGGGTCTTGGCAGGGTGTGGTGGGGGCAGGCACTGCGGTGATGGCAGAGATCCCGCGTGAACATCACAGAGCCCGTGCCTACAGTGACTGCTGACACGCGTGAGTACCAGGGAGACCAAGTCGGCATGTCAGCTTCTAGCCCCCACAGAGCAGCAATCTGCCCGTTCTTTGCCTGTGTGGGCTGTTATGAAGACAGTGGAGACGGCGCTGTGCTCTGGCCTCCTAGGCAACGGCGGCTCAGCCTCTGGAAAAAAAAATTGAAGACAGTTAGAATGACATCTCCCCTTAGACAGGCGGTGACACCGTCACCGGATCCATCTCAGCTCATTGTGCAGTGATAAATGACCCCTGTTGCTGCTGCTGCTGCCTGCTGGGTTCCCTTATTCCTCACCTGGGGCTGCACAGCGGAAACCCAGGGTAGCATTCTGCATTCAGCTGAAAACAGCTTTCAGCAGCCCAAGCCACTGTGGCTCAGAAGCAGGCATGACTCGGCTTTTGTATCCCTCCACTAAGCAGCAGGATAAAAGGGGTTCTGCTGTATGGGAGAGGGAGCCTGCCCTGCACTAGGACCTGTTTCCCTTCCTGCTAATGCAGTCCTTTGCTGTAGCCACGGCTGCAGACCTCTGCGTAGTGCAGGGGAAAGGAAGGTAAAGAGGGAAATGTTAGCCCGTTTCGGCCTGTGCCTTCACCACGTGTCAGAAAGCTACCACACTATTTCCAAACCAAATTTGTTTGGCTTTCCCATAGAATCCTTCCTGTCCACCATCTGGGGCTGAGGCGACGTTGTAGGTACAAGGAAGCAGCCACCGTGTGAGCATGTGGGCTGGAAGGGGCTGGTGCAAGTCGGAGCTCTGGCATTTTGATGGGTAGCATCGGCGAGCCGGTGCATGGCGCCCTTTCCAGAAAGTGCCAGCAGCATGATTCATCTTGAGAGAGACATCTTGCAGCTAAGTCATTTTGGGTGTTTGCCCCCCTCTGAGTCTGTATAGTTGGGCAGCGTGTGTGTCTTTCTTGTGTCTCCATAGGAGCCTGTGAAGCAGGGTGACTTCGTCCGAAGCAAATCTTTCCTGATGACCCCTGCAAAGCCTCCTGTGACCCAGAGGCAGGGGTCAAAGCTGAGCCTCAAGGAGGGACTACAGAGAGGAATCTCACTGTCCCACCAGAACTTGGGTATGAGATTGGCATGCATTTCCAAGCACTTTGCTGTCATTATAACCAAAGTCTTCCTGCAGCTGAAGTTTGTTTTGTTGAATCATTTTTACCATGTCGAGCTGTTTTTTTTAATGGAGCTTTTATTGAGATGAAATTTACACATCTTAAAATTCACCCGTTTTAAATGTACATTTCAGTGGATGTGTCTTACAATGAGACTATGTATATTTGCAGAGTCCTGCCGCCCTGGTGGCAACCTAAGAATAGAACGTTCCCCTCACACTGGAAAGAAACTCATCCCCGTTTGTCACATTCCCTTCCCTGGTTGTAGGTAAACACTAGCCTACCTTCTGTCTCTATAAGATTTGCCTTTTGGGGAACATGAAATCATAAAACATGGGCCCTTTTCTCTGCTGTTTTTGAATGTGATTCTGAGCTCACTCTGGTAGCATGTGTCAGTTTTCACTTTTAATGCTGCTGGGCAATGAGCCCAGGGTCTCCTGCACACTGATCACATGCTCTGTCACCGAACGACACCCCAGTAGTTTCTAAATCTTATGTGTTTTGCACTGTAGTTGAAGACACAAGAATCTAACTTTCCAAGCTGTCTTTTAAGTGTGTGGTTGTGACGGTATTAGGCTTGTTCCAATGTGCAGCCTACTTCCAGGGCTCTGTGGTTAGACCCTGAACATTCTCAACTCACTTGACCTCCAGAACCATCCAAGCCTGCTCCTCAGCCTTTTCAATCCGCTACACTCCATCCCTGATGCTTAAATCTTCACACATTTACGTATTAACGGATTGTGTGTTCTGGAACACAGTGGAGACTGTAACGTATATTTAAAGCTGTTCAAGGGACTTAGTGAAAATCCACACTCTTGTCTCTTGCTTTTGTTTTGTCTCCTTTTCAGCAGCTCAGGCTGCATCGATGACAGAGAAGGAGTTGCATCAGCTGAAGAGAGCCAGTTATGCGAGCACAGATCAGCCGTCCTGGATGGAACTCGCCAGGAAGAAATCTCAAGCTTGGAGCGACATGCCCCAAATCATAAAATAGATTGGCAGCCTGCTGATGAAGGATGTCCACTGCATTGACGGGCCACTTAGTTTTAAACTGCCAATAAATCATGGCAAACAGACTGTGAAACTTCAGATTGATTTTTGTCATCGAATTATGATGTGCTCGGGGAAGAGAGAGGAACCAGATGGATCAAAGAAGACAAGAAAGCCTCAGTCCTGAGCCAGAGGGGCTGCAAGCAGGAGGAACCCCGTAAAAGCTCCTTCCTGTGCTGAGGTACCAGTGTAAGCCTTCAGCATCCCCTTTCTAAAGAGGCCCCAATAGCCAGCGAATGGAAGTGAAGAGAGGTGAATGTTGGGTGTCCTTTAAGAACAGAACTGGAACTTCTTATGAGTCCCAGGTCTGGGCTGTCCCTTGTCATCAGCCAGTGCCTCTGGCCACTGTCTTGCCGTGGACCATCATTGTCGTCGTCTTTTGTGTTTACTAATAGGCATGATGTTTATGGGGAAGCAGGGATGTCGTTTACAAGAGCAGCTACAGAAGTCTGGTTTCCTGAAGCTATCCACCCTTGAGCAGGGGAGGATGGGACGTGACAGGGTTTGTCAACTCATAGACTGTTTCCAAAAATAATTTTTAAACTTTTCCACTAGGCATCTGTGTCCTGAACCATTGCACAATGCATTGCCTGTTTAATAAAAGATTTCAAACACGCTTCGGCTTTGTGTGTAAATGTTATTTCTGCTCGCGGGGAACATCCTCCTGTACTGAGTCAAAGGCGGTGTATTGAGTCCCCCCTTCACACTTCACTGAAAATCCTGGCTGGGTTGGGTGTTTGAATTTTGGGGGGTTGGCCTGTTTGTTTTCATTGTTCTAACAGAACATTGGTGTGCCTTTTAGGGAGAGAGAAGAATATGTTGGAGTTTTTTTTCTCATTTGCTCTATGTATCACAACATTGTAAGAATATAAAAATTTTAAAGGCTGTCTGTCTTAGTTTGCTTTCTGTGGCTGTGAGAAACACCATGACCAAAAGCAACTTGGTGAGCCAAGGGTTTATTTTGGCTAACACATCCCAGGTCACGGTCCACTCAGGGAAGTTGAGGCTGGAACTTGGAGCACAAACTGAAGCAGAAGCCGTGGGGGAGCGCTGCTCACCAGCTTGCCGCCCATGACTTGTTCAGTCTACTTTCTTATACAACCCAGAACCGCCAGCCCAGGGATGGCACTGCCGGAAGTGGGCTGGACCTCCCATGTCAGTCATTAATCAAGGAAATACCCTTGATGTGCTGTCCAGTGAGGTATTTTCTCAACTGAATGCCTTGTGTCAAGTTAAAAAAAAAAAAAAAAAAAAAAAGTAAAATAATAAAGAAATAAAGAAACTTAGTCAGGACACAGTCAATCCTTTATAGCATTTCATGCATCCAGTCTGTATCTTCCTATTGATAACTGGATCACTGGGACAGTAGCCAGGAACATAGAATGTGGTGAAATTGGGCTGGAACACCAATTTGGGATCTCAGAAGTTTCTATATAGTTGTTGCTTTAAAAACAGTTCTAATCCGTTCTCTGCAAGTCAGTCTCCATGGAAGTTAGTTCAGCCAGACTCAAAATCAGCCCAGCATCCCAATATATTGTATTGTAATTTGATTTTAGGTGCCCTAAGGGTTGCCACTTTTAGTCTGTTTTCTATCCTCATGAAAATTATTTTTCTAGCCATTAGTGTTACAATTTTATTGCATCTGCCTCTGTTGAAAAAGTCTTGGGACAGGATTTTTCTTTCCCTCCAGCCAAATGATTTACTAATGACATTCTCTTAGAGAACATAAAACCCGAATTCCACAATGACTGTGTCTACACAAGAACGCTAAAGCTTCGGCATTAATAGTTTTAGCTAGAGACGAGTCAGTTTGTCCATGCTTACCCTAAACCATCATTTCTCTGGCCAGCAGTGCATTTTCAAGGATCCTTATGGAGGTAGTGGGCTAAGGCCATCGAGGGCCTACATTTTTAAACCCTAGTGGAAATCTTGGTTTTTTCAGAGCTGAGGCCTACACCCTCATGTTGCCAGGCAAGCACTAAGCCACCGGGCTAAATCCCCAATGCTAGCATTCCCGTCTTTAAAATACAGTGAGTCCAGGAGTGAACCTTGTCCTCAAAGACAACTGGGAGCATCCTGAATGTGACCCTGAGAGCTCCTGTCTTAGGAACAAGTGTGCATCTCATGCTGTCTCCTTGGTGACCACCTTTGCCCTCATCCGTTAACTCCTTTATCAGGACGAGAGAAAGTTTTGGCTTTTGGTGGCTTTCATTTTGTAATTTTTTTAAGTTGTTGAAATTTTAAGTTTAAGTTGTTTTTAAGCACATTTGAACAATGTGTAATGCTTCTAACTTGTGTGAAGGCTCTCTGTAAGGGTCTCTACAATGGGGCCCAGCCCCATGAAATCTCAACTTTTGTGGCACACCCATTTTTTTTTAACAGTGACTAGACATTAAATATACAGAAGTCAAAGACAAATGCTTGTAGGGACAATGATGAGCCTAAACCAGAGACTGGTTGTAGCCGAAAGGACACTTGAGGTTGGGGGAGGGGTGGTTGATGAGGTAGTCTAATTATGTAGCTGATCCTGGTGGCCTGGGCTAAGGTAATGGTCTAAGTGGGTGTGTGTGATGTGGTATGAGAGGAAAAGAATGTAAAAAAGGGTTGACACTTAGGTTTTTGGCTGGAGTTCTTCATTAAGTAGGGAAATCATTTACAGAAATGGAGCCTGAGAGTGAAATACACAGATTTCTTTGGGATATCTTTAATGATATAAAGGATATCTTAAATGACTTCCCATTAAGTCACTAAGTAAATATACCATGTCCACAGATCGAGTTATAGATTTAGGAGAGCTCAATCTGAAATAAAATAGGACACATGCCAAGCGGTGGTGTGCACCTTTAATCCCAACACTCGGGAGGCAGAGTCAGGTGGATCTCTGTGAGTTTGAGGCCAGCCTGGTCTACAGAGCGAGATTCAGGACAGGCACCAAAACTACACAAAGAACCCTTGTCTCAAAAAAACCAAAAAAAAAAAAAAAAGAAAGAAAAGAAAGAAGGAAGGAAGGAAGGAAGGAAGGAAGGAAGGAAGGAAGGAAGGAAGGAAGGAAGGAAGGAAGGAAGGAAGGAAACAGAAATTCAGGTCTAGAAGAGGAAGAGAGGGCTGCCAGGACTGAGCTAAGGATGCCCTGACTCTAGGGGTCCAGGGAGAGCAGATGTATCCAGTTTGCCTTTGGAGCAAGAAAAAAGCAGAGCTGAGAGAAGAAAAAGAAGAGTGTTGGGAGGGAACTGTGCCAACCGTCTAGGCTGAGATCTGCTAGATGACGTTGGTCAAATGAGAACAGGAGTGGCCATCGGCTCTGGGCACACACAAGTCATGGGTGACCTCGGTAGAGCCCTTTTGGGGATGCTGCTGGGGTAGAGGCACAGATGAAGGAGGTCAAAGCCAGCTAGCCTACTGCTACTTCAGCTAGAGCTAACTTTCAAGAACTTCTATGTGAAGGAGAGCAGAAGAAATGGTGGGATTGTGTGGCAAACGGTGTCGTTTGTGCCTTGGAAGGAATATATAGAGGGGTTTGTGTGTAGGTGGAAATAAACTTTTAGGAGAGAGGAGAAAATCAATCATGGTCTTTGGAAGCATCCCAGCTTCCCCATGGATTTGGGCAAGGATGAAATGCTCACATCACGGACCACTCTTGTTCCTGGAAATGGGAGCCCCGTATTCTGATCCAGTTGTCAGGCGATGGACAGCCAGCCCGTTGTGATGACAGTCTCATCAAATGCTCCCCCTGCTTGCCCTGCTGCCGACTTTTTTTTTTTTACCTCGGTGCTGAGCTTCATGTTGAGAAGCAATGGATAAAGTGTTATCTGGGTGTGTGGAGCTCTAAGAGTCCACCACACATTCGCTGAATCTGTGGTCTCTTTTCCTCTTTAAAGAGCTAGCTAAAAATCCAGTAGATAGCATCAGATTTCATGCTTGGGAAAACACAAAGTTGTCACCGCGATTCTTGGGCATTCTGCTCCCCCCCTCTGCTCTGCACTTGGAACTCCTGCATTTTGGAGGATTGTTGCTGTCTTAACTCAGAAGGTGGCTCCTTCAGCAGTCTATAGAATTCCATGTACACATGACACTCGTGTGTGTGTGTGTGTGTGTGTGTGTGTGTGTGTGTGTGTGTGTGTGTGTACATGTGTGGAGGTACAAATGCACATGTACGTGTATGGAAACCAGGAGTCTCCATTGATATGGGAGGGGGTGTCTTCATCACTTCCCCACCTTTTTTTTAAATTTTTTTAAAAGACTGGAGCTGATTGGTTAGGCTGCGTAGTCAGCAAGCTTCAGGGATCCCCCTGTCTCTGCTCCCTAGCATTGGGATTACAGGGGTGCACCCAGCCCCACACCTGACAGCCTTTGTCTTGATGGAACTCATTAAACGTGGGGTAGCATCATAGTTTTGTGAGTGTGAAGAGACACGGCTTTTTTTTTTTTCTTTTTTAAGATTTATTTATTTATTATGTACACAGTATTCTGCCTGCATGTATGCCTTCATGCCATAAGAGGGTACCAGTTCTCATTATAGATGGTTGTGAGCCAACATGTGGTTGCTGGGAATTGAACTCAGGACCTCTGGAAGCGTAGTTTAAAGCTCTTAACCTCTGAGCCATCTCTCCAGCTTTCTTTATCTTGCTGGTCCCGTAGCTCCAGCCACCCACCCACAGCAGGACAAATCTCCTTTGGTTGCCTCAAGAGCATCAGTTCATCTACACACATATGCCACTCCAAAGAACTAACAGAGAGCCTCTTCCAAACAAATGGCATCGTCTCACTGACAGGAGTCATGATGGATGGAACTTTCTCCACCCCATTCAAGCCTGCCCTTTGATTAATGCTGGATAGCACCAACCACGAGATCTGTGTTTCCCAGTGTGGCCAGCATGGACTCCATCTATCTGAGCTGTCACATTTCTCAAAACAGCCTTTGTATTAGACGACTGTCAACAGCCCCGAAGATCTCTCTGCTCCAGCTAGCTTCCAGGAAGCTCAGACCTGTGGCGGCTGCTCTAGCCTCGTCAGCAGCCAGCTTGGGGATAGCCGAGGCTTCCTGTGCAAGCTGGGGTGAGGGCGGTAGGTGAGAAATCAATGCGAAGAAAATGCGTGCAGCAAATACATCACCCCCCTGACACCTTAGAGAGCATGCACTTTAGCTGTGCATCCGACTGGAATGGGAAATGGACGGAGAAACTAAATGGAAGATATTCTTTATACTAGAGCCTAGGAGAAAAAAAAAAATTATGGCGGTGCCTTAAAAATAAAAAGCAAACATTTTAGGCCGTGAATTTAAAATATGCCCACAAATTCTTCAACAATCTTCTCTTCAAAGTGTGGGGCATACTGACCATCCTGAGCGTGGATCAACCTGACTGCTCACTTCTATTTACCACAGTGTCCCTATCCACAGGGGATATGTTGTAAGCCCCCCGCCCCCCGCCCTCAACAATGGATACTGCCCACAGCTAGTATCAATAAGAGTATTGTATGCAATGTGTACATCTGTGATAAACCTGGACCGTTGAACTTGAAGAAGCGCTTTGAATGGGGAGCATTGCTGCTCTTGTACCCCGGGACCTTTTCTTGGGTAAAAATAAGGGCTTCGTGGACACAGGCACTGTCATGCCACTGT